ACTAAATACACATGAACTTGGCTGATGGTGGTGGGGTAGCCTGAATACACTCCAGTCATTTACATCACTTCAGATCAGTGCATCGATCTGTAGGATAGTGTTTACAAAAGGTTCGACCTAACCAGTTTGACGTAATTGGTCCATTTTGACCATATTTTATAAAAGGTATCCGTTTGCACTTGTACAAAGGACAGCTTTTCAGATGTATAAATCTCTCACTACGTTAATCCAGTCGTCAGTCATTGGAGGTTCAGGTTTGAGCCACCTCCTTGTAAGGGCCTTTATACTTACAGATACACAAAAGTTTTCTATTGTTACAGCACAGTTTGTCCACCAGCATGTTACAGAGAAACAGGCTTTCAAACGTTAAAGGCAGATGAGAAAACATTCTGTAAATGTTCGTGTGTTTGAGACCAGTATTGCTGGATGTCTTGGCAGTCCCAAAAGAAATGGAAGTGGTTGGCACCGTCCCCCCAACATCTCCAACAAATATTCCCTGATATCTTTTCTGGAAAGGGGTTATGAAAAACCTTATTGTGCTTTTCCAACAATATTCACGCCACACCTTTGATCTTACTGTATTTTACAAATGTGTTCCCAACTTTCATCTGAGATTGTCAGGTTACCTTCCTTTTCCCACTTCATTTTAACATAAACAGTGCTGTCGTCCTTACAACGCAGGATGGAGTTAGACAACCCTGAAATGATGTTGCTTCTTCTACATTTAGTAGTTTAATATTATAAATGTTTCCACCAAACCCAGGTTATTTAAATTTACTTTTAATTCGTGGTTGAAATCATTTCTGTCCTGTAGATATCTAAAAAAAAATCATCTGTACTTAAATCATATTTTCTTTTCAGATTCTGAAAACTTTGAAGCGCCCCCTTGTGGACAAATGAATAACAGTTGGTTAAGAAGTCCACTTCTTGAATCTGTCATGTTGATTGGGAATAAAGTCTGAATCATAAGCACACCGTTTTAAAAATTTTAGAGGCGTTTTCTAAACCACAAACTTTAACAGTTTCATTCCAGGCAGTTATAATTTTACTTGTGATATGGATTCATTTGCCAAATAAATTTTATTCTGCAGTTTTTTGTCAGCTGTTAAAGCTGTAACTTGTTTTGATGGTTGTCCCTTCCACATCTTTCCATCCTGCAGTGTAATCCAGAGAGCATAAACATGTCAGTGATCTCAGCTGCGCAGCATAATAATGTTTTAATGTTAATGTTTAATGTTATGGCGGCCCGTAACCCCCTTTTTCTTTTTAATTGTAAGGCTTTATATTTGACTGTGGATTTTTTTCCCATTCAAATGTATTTTAACAATATTTTATCCCATTCTTCAAATTGTTTTGAGGGTATAGATATTGACATTGACTGAAATAAATACAACATTCGGGGAAGAATATTTGTGAGCCATCACATCAAAATGAGGATTAAGTCCAAAAGTGGAGAAACAGGCAGATGTAGGGTTTCGATTAAAACGTCTACAAAAATTGCATTTTGTCAAAACATAATGAATTAATGCCTTATCAACGTATCGTTTGAATGAACTGTCTGAAATATAATACTAAAAAAGTTTTTGAAGCATTTTTTTCAGCAGTAGAAACAAAAAACATGATTTTGAGGAAAAACGCCTTAAAATTTTGAAATTTTCCCTGTGAGCTAACAAAGTTTTTTTTTTTTTTCCAACTGGGAAATCTTAATAAACAAATAATATTTGAGGTGTCCTCTTTATATTAACATCAAAAATTACTCAATAAATTTACATAAAAATACGATTCAGACCAAACAGTAATGTATTATTGTAATCAACAAGACAAATTAAACCATATCATTGGATTTAATTATATCAGAATGATCCAGGTATCAAAATGTAGCCTTTAAAGCCCAGAACATAAAAATGTAGTTAGATAACTTTGACCAAATTAGACTTAATCCTCATTTTGATATGATGGCTCACATTTATTAACTGATTCAATTCTAGAGTGTAGGTCCAAAAAAGGTATGACATTTGATCTTTGTTTATCAGATTTTATGGCCATGTTCAGAGGGGCGAAACTGGCCTCAAACATTTTAGTGGGATCCTGATGTATTACAACCCCTAGATATATGTGACCCGTCACATCGAAACCAGGATTAAGTCTAAAAGTGGTGTGAGGAGAAAAAGGCAAATATAGTGTTTTGACTAAAATGTTTAAAAAATTGCATTTTGTCAAAATATAATGAATAAAAGACTTATCAATGTATCAGTTGAATGAACTGTCAGAAATATAAACATAAAACAAAATTTAGAAGCACTTTTTTGAGCAGTAGCAACAACAAAAAAAAACTGATTTTGAGGAAAAACGTCTTAAATTTTTAAGATTTTCCCTGTGAGCTAGCAAAGTTTAGTTTTTTTTTAAAGCTGGGAAATCTCAATATTCGAACAWAATTTGAGGTTTCCTCTTTATCAGGACATCAAACATTCCTCATTAAAATGACATCAAATTAGGATTCAGACCAAATATTTATGTATTATTGTAACCAACAAGACAAATTRAGTCATATATATGGATTTAATTATGATATCAGAATGATCCAGGTATCAAAATGTAGCTTTTAAAGCCAAGAATCTGAAAATGTAAGTAGGTCATTTTGACCAAATTCGACTTAATCCTCATTTTGATATGATGGGTCACAAATATAACACTGTTTCTCATTTCCATTTATAGCAATCTTTAATTTCACCTGGTGGATCATAATTTAGGGTTATTGCCTGTGTTTTGTTTACATTAACTTTGTATCTTATGGACCCATTTTAACTAAATCCACTACATGTGGTAGTAATACATAAAACAGTGTTTATATAGATATTATATATAGATATTTTCCATGTGAATACCAGATATCAGGTTATAAGACTGACTTGAGCAGATTTAATCCTGTGGGGGCTGAAGAAACCTGGAATCTATTCTTAAAACACTAAATATAAACAAATACAATAAAACTTTTGGACACAGTTGGACTGTTTTTAATTTTTATTTTGTCTAGAAAACAAACTACGAAACATCAATAATACGTTTTAGCAAAATAAATGTTTTTCTCTTCTTGAAGACAGGATGAAAACATTAAACACTTGATCAGATCAATGCTGAATTTCCAACATGTCACAAACCTGATGAACTGCTTGTGATGGTGATGATGATGATGATGRTGRTGATGATGATGATGATGATGGTGATGATGATGATGATAGACCTCTCCCCCAAGATCAGTATTTCCAGGAATCCCCTTTTCTATCAGGTCAAGGGATTCCTGGGAAAACTGGACCCCAGAAAAGAGGGTTGTGGTAAAAAACAAGGTAAAGTATGAATCTGTTTTAAAACGTATTTGTTTTTCATCCAGACAAGGTTAAACACAGTTCTGACTGTAACATTTCAAACATGGTCTCGGTGTAATTCACAGGTTCTTGGTTGAAGCTGGTCAAAGCTGCAGACCCCTGTTGATGGACGGTGCAACTTAAAAACGTTTGTGTGATTTTTGTCCTTCGTCCCGAGCTACAGTGCTTCATCTCAGACTAGCAGCTGACCAGAGATGCAGCACTGCACCGCGGGCCGCAGGGATGTTTGTCTGAACTGCAGGGAAACAAAGATGGCCGATTCAGGACAGTTATTTCATCACATTTCATTCTGACTACAAACAAGTTTACTTTTGTTCGCATCGTAATGAAGGAAAGCACAGTACTCACCACCATTCATGGCTAAAATTTTAAGAAAAAAAATAACACTGAACACGATTCTGTTTAGAGAACCTCAGAGCAAGTACAGCATCAATTCAAGTATCTAAAAAATTGCCTTTTTATTTTATTATTTTGCTAATGTTGATTATCTGTGGCGGCCATTTTAAATAGGATTCTCTGCTAAAGTTAATCAGTTGAACTACATTCATTCAAATTCAATATTGTTCACCTTTGCCTTCCTGTGGTGGGCGAACAAAATATTCCTTCAGTGGTCCAACATTATCCATTAAACTAAGATAATTTGAGTAAAAGAATAAGAGATTCCACAGTACAAGTACTTCTTCCAGAGTGGTAAACAGGAGATGACTTCAACTCCCAGCAGACCTACAAAATACCAACTTCCTGCCGAAGCTGCTCCCTGTCCCAGTTTGGTGCCTGGATGTGTTTCTTCTTCTTCTTGTTTCTGTACAAACATATTCAAACTGTTCAACAGTTTTTACTGCTTCCTGAAACAATCAGTAACTTTATTGGTTTATATAAATAAAGACATCAGGATCAGTTTGATTCAGATCTGTTGTAGTTTGTGTTCATTACTTTTTCCTTTAAGGGCCACATAACTTTTCCCTTCTCTGGAGGGGGGCCGGAGTCAGTTTGTAACAGAAAAAGTGTGACTAYTACAGGAGTGCCTAAATGTAAAAATTTATTGTTTTCCAGAAAGCACAATCAAATAACCCTGTCTGGGTTCTTCACAGTATGTATTCTGCTGAGCTAACAGTCCATCTTTTAGCTTTGAGAGTTTGTTTGCTCACATTTGGCCTTGAAGCCATCATACTTGTCTTTGTGACGGGGTTCATAGTGTCACCGCAGATTGTATTCTTTGAATACCACCACCGCCTCTTGACAGATGAACAAAAAAAATAACCGTTTGTCCACTGCAGCTTAAATACCCTGCATTCTGAATCAGTTTTTCTCTTACC